TGAAATGGCAGACTTCCTATGAGCTTGTGTTGTCCAGGAGAATACTGGGCAGTACAAGATGCACATTTCTGGGGACAGGTCTGGGACTGGGAATTTGCTGGTGTTGCTCTGTAATATAATTCAGGAGTCACTGGCTAGAGCACTCATATATAATACAGCTGGGAGTAATTTACATGCTAGACGCTGTGTGAGAGCAGACCAGAAAAGGTCACTTTCACAGGACAGTGGTGTAAAAAAAGGTATCTCAAGTTGGAGAATTGAGGGGATACAGCTGTTCAGCACATAGAATGTCACACATAGAAATGCTTTCCCTCTCCAACCTATTATCAATTACAAAAAGTCTAATTATAAATAAACTCTGCAAGTCTCTCATAAGTCTTTTCTCTGTCTTTTTTGTTTTAACACCTCAGGCTTTCCCCTCTACCTATATTTATTTTACTAATTTAGATATTTGATTGTTTGCAGACTATATGCAGAATGTTTGTAGAGTATTACTTTGTAATTAGATTGGGTGCCAAGAGAACCTATTAAGGCAGAGTTGTCCCATTACAGTGTTTGTGTGTCTAGGTAAAATAAATTTAATAAATGTGTGCATTAATCCTTTTAGGTGTGGGAATCTATTGAAATCCATTTTACATCCTGTTATCTACTGAGGGAGCATTTAGAAGTATTTAAACTATGTCGGAGAACAATTTTTAAAAATTAAAAGATAAACACATCTTTACAGTAGGATTCCTCATCCATATCTATTTACACCCTTATCTAACAAAACAGAAACTTAGAAATAAAACATATGAATTTAGAACATAGTTCTCATAATGCATTATAAACATGAGTTTAATCCAAGATCTATCATATTGTTCAATTACCTTTAATAAGTAGTAGGGTACTATTTTTACTATTGTACTATTTTTGTGGATTTACAATGTTTTAAATTTGGGGTGAAAACAGTTTATTATTTCTAATTACAAATAGCATTAGATTTATGATCCTACTTCAAACATGGGAAGTCAGGTTTAATAAAAATGGCTCACTAGAAATTGTACATGTAAGGTTATTTTGGAGGAAAGTTAAAGCTTCTTTGGGAAGAGAAAGGGGGCAACTTCAGCATAGATTACAGAATATCAGTACCACATTTAAGAGGTGGTAGATGAAGATTTTCTAATATTGAATTGATTGAGTGCAGGGATTCCACTCCTTCTGCCTATACCGGTACTGAAATATCCACAAGACTCGCATTGCTTTTACAAAGTTTTAATCATTTGGTGTATACCCATTTTGAGATTTTCTATTTCCACATGGAAACCTGTAATAGCTGTTATGAGAACCCCTATCGTTCTGATCTGAATTCAAAGCCAAAGTTGTTATGCAATGTATTCCAGGATGTACTAAATGAGAGAAGGCCTTGAGGGGAGAGGGTGTGGAGGGAGATCCTCAGTAAACTGGCAATGGAGCTATGATAATTTACACAAGCTGAGGATCTGCCTCAGTCTTTAATGCAGACAAAAAGGACAAGTTGCCAGCTTCTTCTACTTGATCACTTAGATCAATGGTTTTCAACCTGTGGACCCCTGGGAGTCCACAGACTTTGTTTATGGGGTCCACAAAAGGTTGTCATTACCATAGAACAGTGGTCCACGGACCCCAGGAATCTGCAGACTATGTGTAAGATTTCCAAAGGGGTCCGCACCTCCATTTGAATTTTTTTAGGGGTCCGCAAATGAAAAAAGGTTGAAAACCACTGGCTTAGATATTATCAGTATCATGTTTCACCAGTGCTTCAAATTTTTGTTCAAAAGGCTACGTACTCTTTCAGAGGCATACTGGCACAAATTCTATAAATTTCTGTTTTTTACCAGTAGGGATTTTACATCTCAAGTATATTCTGTAAGGGGATAATTTGAAGGATTTTCCAAAATCAGATTTTGTAGTCATGTAGAATAATGTGTTAATTCATAGCATTATAAGTGATTAGAAGTCACCTGAAGTAAAAGCTCCTAGTTTCTCTCATACTAAAGATTCTCTGAGGTAAGTATATGCTGGAAGACCACAAAAACCACAACGATTTTTACAGTTTGTACAAAGGAGAGATCTCTTAATTTTAAATCCTAACCTTCTGTTGTCACTGCTCTTAAAAGCCTTCAAACCTGTACTGGTTGCAGGTTTTCAATAAGTGAAAATTTTCAGTTATCATTTTAACAATTTTTTTCAATAAAAATTTCAAAAAAAAAAAGTATTGAGAAACGTGCATTAAAAAGGGGGGGGGGGATATTGCTCAGGAGTATTTTGGCATCTGAGGTATCTCAGCCAATATATAGCTGACTCCATCACTAAGGAACTAAAATGGACTTGTTACAAGTGCTGTAAAATACTAGGCTTTTCTTACTTCTAAAATGATATCAATGAAGTTAGTAGTTTAATTCTGGATATTTTAAGTGTCATTTCACAGCCCTAAGGTAATAGTATGAAATCTCCTCCCCACAACCACATAGTGAGAAATACTACACAATCTTCTGATAATGAAAATGCTAAATTGGTATTTTTGCCGCTAGCGGACAGTGGGAATTTTACTATATAAATAGAGAAATCCAATACAAAGTATTTTTTAGTGACTTGCTATGTTAGGCGAACACTTAGGCATTAAATGTTTTGTCACTTAAGTTTACTCTGAATTGAGATAATATAAATTATCAACATTAATCCCCTGAAGCACAGATAAATAGTAAGTGCTGCCAAGATTTACTATAGTGTAGTTCAATCCTATTTCTCTGAGAGGCAGACGTCAACCATCAACACTTGATTCACAAAGAAAATTCCGGTGTCTCTTTTAAGCTTAAGAGAATATACAGTAACTCATTTTACTAAATATAGCCTGGCTTGATCCAGTACTAGTGCTGTGCACTACTAAAGCTGGGACCAAGATTCAGTTCTTTGCTCTAGTCTCCCATTCTCTGGGCTAACAAAGGATAGGAATGCTTCCAAGGCTGCATGCTTTGCCATGGGGAAAAGGGGAAAAAAGGAAGCTTCTTGCTTTATCCACTAATGCCCCCCTCCTGACAGGAGAGAAGCAAGATGGACTGAGTACAAAGAGAGTGGCACAGAAGGTAGTGGCCACAACATGACTGAAAATGATTCTTCAGAGCTCATGCAGAAGATATTTCAGGAATGAAGAAGACACAAAAAGGAACGAAAAGGATATATGCTTATATATCAGGGGTTGGCAACCATGCAGATGTGGTGTGCCGAGTCTTCATTTATTCACTCTAATTTAAAGTTTTGTGTGCTAGTAATACATTTTAACGTTTTTAGAAGGTCTCTTTCTATAAGTCTATAATATATAACTAAACTATTGTTGCATGTAAAGTAAATAAGGTTTTTAAAATGTTTAAGAAACTTCATTTAAAATTAAATTAAAATGCAGAGTCCCCGGACCGGTTGCCAGGACCCGGGCAGTATGAGTGCCACTGAAAATCAGCTTGTGTGCCGCCTTTGCCATACATGCCATAGGTTTCCTATCCCTGTTATATATAATCAGATCAACACTGAGCCCAAGTGGTTAATTTTTTCAATGTAGATGCCTAATTTGCACAGGCAAAATGCAGGTGTACGCAAGTTATGTGTGAAAAGCTCATTGATGTATGAAAACTGGGTAGTTTGTGTATGCATCTGCAAAAGTTGTAGATACAATTCAGACATATGGTAAAAAAATTAGCCTTTAATGCATACATAAAGTAGATTATCAGGATACACATGGACTTAATCACATTTAATGATATTGATTTAAGTAATAATGAGATTTAATGATAGGAAACATCCAACCATAATTATTTTAACTTCCTATCACTCAAGTAAACATGATCTTATGTGCAAATATATGTTTGAACAAGTTTCTTCAATTTAATGATTACTAAAAGAAAAAGCAGGTGAGATAATAGTAAATTTTCTATAACAAGCAATTATTTTAAAATTTAAGTACTAGTGATGTCAAACTGGCAAATGCATCTTAATTAAAAAATGAAACCTCCATAAAAACTGTTTAAGAATTACATGAATATTTCTGAATTAGTATTAGTCATGTGAGTTTACAGTTTTGAAAGATATAGCATAAGTATGTAACTTGTCAGAGACATAGTATAAACATTTGTCATTTTTAAGTAATGCCAAAAATTTTAATTATGTGTGTTCATTCAAGACTTGCAAAGTTCTTTTCTTGATTCTGATACAAGGATGTCATTCGCTTTTGGCAGAAACATATGGTAGCTGTATAATTTGTTTTTTTGCCTCCAATTACATCAGAATATTTACATATCGGTAGAACTTTGTTTTTCAGATTTAATTATTGATCTCTGATTAACCATAGTTGAGTAGAAGTGTGTCATATATATGTATCTAGGCACAGTATTAGATTAAAATCTGAAGGCACTGTTACCCATACAAGGTTAGGTATTGTGTGTCTTGAAAAGTATCAAGCACACAAGAATTGCCTCTAGTTAGTATTAATACTCCTTGTGTAACTTAGAGACAGGACTATTTTTTGCCTATACTTTAAGTGGAAATATTATTATTATTACCGAGGTTAGGAAAGGATTTTCTGGGGGTGCTGTACATCTTAGACGTGACTAGCTGAATTGTGAATGCCACCAAATGTTATCTTCTAAAAAGCAAAAATATGATGAAGATTGATCCCTTAAAAACAGTCAGGATATGTAGATAGGTAATTCACATTAATGCTACTGGGTGTTGCCAAAAGAACCTCTAGTCACGGATGCGTGGTTAAAAAAAGAGATACCAAAAATAACTTATATTTACATGATCTAGTCTCTGAACAGACACAATAAGTGCATTGACAATAATGGGAGTTATATTCATTTATCAAAAGGAGAATAGATCTACAAACAATGTACAGATGTTTTGTAATATGTGCTTGCGCTATATAGAATATAGGCAATGTATGAGAGGACTTTACAATTTGCTTGGAAATATAAATAAATTTGACATACCATAACAGAGTCAAGTTTCTGCTTCACTTTCTGCATTCTCATAGATACTCTTGCAACACTGACAAATTGATCTGCTGGAGACATTGTTGAATCTTTCTGTGCAGAAATATGAGAAGAATTGCTAAGAATTTGTGGCCCTCTGAGTGTTGTTGATGCGAGTGACCCATTGAGATCTTTTACTATTTCAGCCTCCTGCTGTGCAACTGCAGAAATAATCAACATTAACATTTTAGGTCAAGTCTTAGTAGTTCCATGAAACAAACCACACTGAGTTCATAGGTCATATTAAATCTAAGACTTTGCTGAACAAGATAAAGAAATTATATACAAAAACCCTACATTAAAAAAAAGTTATTTAGGTTACATAGTTGAGTTAAGAGGGAGGGATAGCTCAGTGGTTTGCGCATTGACCTGCTAAACCCAGGGTTGTGAGTTCAATCCTTGAGGGGGCCACTTAGGGATCTGGGGAAAAATCAGTACTTGGTCCTGCTAATGAAGGCAGGAGGCTGAACTCTTTCGGGGTCCCTTCCAGTTCTAGGAGATAGGTGTATCTCCATTAAAAAAAAAAAAGGCCAGTTTTACAATTACCTAGGCGACCTTAATTCTGTCCTTTGGTGCATGCAATGAGGCAGAGATCTTGTGGCAAAAGAATAGTATGTGATTATTGCCATTAAAGACTATATCATAATGCATACAAGAGTGCAAAACTGAAGTTGCATGGGCAACCATAAATCTCTCTTGACTTTGAAATCTAAATTACTTCTTATCTTAGGGTTGTTTGTATGTAATTTAGGGTTTTTGTATTTTTAAAGGAATACAATAGAACTAAATCTCATTATGTCTCACTATGTAACAAACCCTATATCACATCTCACTTATCAGGGCTGAAACCTGAACTTTCACTACTGGACAGACTTGTCACTTGAGCTACAGGTCTAATTACAGTAGCTGTTAAAAGGAGTAGGTTGTTCTCCCTGGGAAGGGAGAAGCATTGATGATCTGATGGCACCATGAGCTGGGTCCAAAAGAAGCCTGCCCAACTTAGCACTCTCTAATACTCCCTACACCCCATACGGTGGGGGTTACTGTCCAACATGGTACTCCTAGAAAGGCGAACAGATTGCCAGGGCAATGTGCTGGGTTCCTGGGATAATCAAAAGAGGGTGACCCCAGCCAGAGTCTCTCACCACCCCATTTCTACAGCTGCTCTGGCAGCTCCGTGGTGTTCCCACTAAATCTGCTACTGCTGCTTTACCAGGGTGTGGGCCTAGTTCTTTAGAAAATTAAGGTTCAGTTATTTTGGTATGCTGTGAAAGTTCTTCTGAGGAACATAAGCAAGAAAAGGGAAGTAACAACTTTAAACAGTTTGCAACTTAGCAAAACCCAAATGGGATTTCATGGGAAAAAGAAAAGGAACTTTTCTAGCCTGAGGGCTTTTTCCCTGCCAAATTTCAAAGTCCTTCTGCAAACAATGGAGACGTTCGGAGCTTCTCAAAAAAGAATCATAAGAATCTTTAACAATGGAAAGTGTTAAGCACCCTAAATATAGGGATCACTACCAGCTCCCTCTAGAAATACAGGGCATCAGTGCATACAACATATGAACAAGAAAAAAGTAAATTATATAAAACCCTCAGCAAAATAATTTAAAAGTTAGGTATTCTGAACATGCCAATACTATGGATGTGATGAATCTACAATTTAAGTTCAGTTAGTGTAAGAATATAAGGAATAGTGTAGTATTAGTATTCAGTTACCAAAACACAAAGAATTCAGCTGGCTATTGTTACGTATGCCTGCTCTGGTTCCACTGAATCTCTATCAAAATTTATGATAAAGGTGCTACCAGGAAAGACAAATGTAAAGTTTAGAGAAAATCCCCTCATGCCATGCTTAACAATGCAAAAGACTCTGGCCCTATGTGCCAGGTTCCCCACTGCCACTCTTTCCCAGTGCTAGAGTACACTTCTGTAGGTCTGACTCCCTTCTGCCACTCTTCTCTTCTCTCTCTCGCACACACACACACACACACACACACACACACACACACACACACACACACACACACACACACACACACACACACA